GGCCTGTAATGTGTAGGAGGCCATACACATACTCAATGTGTATGAAGTGCTTGGTGCTGTCGAGTAGGGGCTCAAAAAGTACTATTATTATTACCATCATGATTATTTATCTGATTATTTAATGGTGCAGATTTTACTTGGTCTTCAAAGACGCTCGAAGGATCTTCAAGGATACTCTGAGATACTCTCCTGCCTTGTGTTCTCTCTGTTCTAAACCCCCTTCCCCCCACTTGGAAAGCAGTTGTCTGTAGAACAAACTCAGCACTTACTTGTATATTGTTTTATGTTATTGATCAGTTTGAATTTGTTGACAGCCTTGTCTGCTATTCCAGGGACTGGTCCCTATCTCGTGTCTGGTCTAGGGGATTGTTGATGGTTCTCAGGTGCAGAGGCTTGAGTTAATCCTATTCCCCAGTTAGCAGCCCATTACTGCCACTGGCCCTTACGACGTCCTTTGCGTGTATTCCTTTACTTTCCCCACTTACCCCATTCCCAACTCCTATCATCTTCCAGAGATGCTCACCTTTATGGGTTTGAAATATGCTTAAACATGTTTTTAACCTTGCAAAATATGTAGTGGTGCTTTGTTAATTTACATAATTTTGTTCATATTGCTGATGCACATAAAATAGTATTATGCCAAAATGTCTTATTTTCTTTCTCAAATTTTTCCCTCACTGTTTTTAAGCTCTATCCATGTTGCTACATATACATCTAGTTGGGTGTTTCTAAATGCTCCAGGCAATTCCTTAATATGCATTTGCCACATTTTATGTGTTGAATCCCCTGGTGATAGACACAGACTTTGCTTTTACCTCCTTGCTTCTGCAATGCCATGATGAGCTTCCTTATCTCAATGGACAAGGATCTGTGAGAATCTTAAGGGTGGGACATGTCCCTTAGGGTCTGTGTGATTCTTTCTCTGAGATATAGACCCAGGAATGGGATTGCTGGGTTATAGGGTAAGGACAAACTCAGCAGCACTGGGACAAGAGTGGGTTGACCAAGGGCACACAATTTAAGGTTGCAATCGCTCTGTGGGTCATGCATGTTCACAGGTGTACGAAACTCTCCTCGTCTGTTTTCCGGAATGGCTGATCTCATCATCGGTGCATGAGAGTCACTCAGTCATCACACCTTTGCCAGCGCTAGGTGTTACCCACCTTTCTAATTTTTGTCAGTATGATGGGAATACAGTGGCATTTCATCATTGTTTCATCTCCTGCTTTTTATTCTTTTATAGGATCTCTACTGGTTTGGGCAGAGTGTGGGCACCTGCTAAGTGAGTGCAGGATGGCTTTGATGGAATATTCAAGGTGGTTCTGAGTGATCTATGATGCAATTGCAGGCAACACAAGGCAGAACTGAGTGCCAAAAGATCTTTTGACATTCAGTGTTCTTCTCACTAGACTGTGAGTGTGTGTTTCCATTTGCGCTGATGATTTTATTATGGTGTACCCTCTGAACTGCACAGAAATGCATGTTTCAGAATGTCAGCTCATCATGATGATGATGAAAGCCATTGTGTATTTGCTTTCAAACAGTAGTGATGACAACAACAAAACCAAAACCACCACCAACTAACCCTTCCACAGAATTTTTTTTTTTTTTAATGAGCAGAGCTCTGTACTAAGCACTGAAAGTATTTTAGCTTTTTTAATGCTTGCGACAATTTAATGGGGCTATGTACTATTATTATACTCATTCTATAGACAGTGAAACCAAGGCACAGAGAATTTTAAACTTCTTTAAGATCATACAGCTTGTAAATGGTAGAGTCAGGAAAAATTCAGTCACTTGTTTGGGTGCTCAGGTGACAAATCTCTGGATCAGAACATGTTGGAATTTTGGCTTTATGAACATAGGTGTAGGGAGTGAGTTATCCAGATCTGTGAAGGCCACAAGTAATTCCCTTGTAGCAAAGTGAGGTCCAATCGAAGTGCAGCAGATACAACCCAATCCCACTGCTCACACTACATGTAAGGCTGCCATCCCGAAGTGCTGTCTTACCTAGCAGCCTTATCAAATTCCAAATATTTTTGGCTGAGAAAGCAATCTGTGTTTTGGGATCAAAAGTTATCATATCAATCATTTGAAATGGAAGTATGTGAGACGTCAGAAGCAGAGTTCATACGTGGTTTTGCTCCAATGTTTCTCCTTCCCATTAGTTTAAAATGGCCTTTCTGGGGCACCCGGGTGGCTCAGTTGGTTAACTGTGTGCTTTTGACTCAGGTAATGATCCCAGGGTCCTGGGATCAAGTCCTGCATTGGGCTCCTTGCTCAGCAGGAAGCTGAGCTTCTCCCTCTGCCGCTCCCCCTGCTTGTGCTCTCTCTCTTTCTGACAAATAAATAAATAAAAAAAAAAATCTTTAAAATGACCTTTCCTCTTGGGAGTGTTCCTATCTCTGCAGCAGTGACTGGGGTCTTTACTGATGAATTTAGGACCTTAATCCTCTCTAAAATCACTTTCTCCAGTTGAACTTTTTGATGATGGTGCCATAAAAAGAAAAGTTTGATGTTAAATAGGTGGGTCAGGGGTAAAGTCTGATCTTAGATTTATTTTGTTTGACCTGAATAGTGTTTTCTTCTATTAGGAATTTCACATTAAGATCCAGATTTCCAGATTCTTTTGAAAAATTACAAGGGTTGGCAATTTGGGTCTGCATCCCTGAATGAATCCATCCCTCTGAAGATGAATGGAAGCAATTCTGTTAGGTGGGACCTGTAGCCTTTACTTTCTCAAGTCCCCACCAAACCCCCTGATTTTTAATTTTTTTAGAGAGAGAGGGTAGGAGGAGGGAGAAAGGGCAGAGGAGAGAGAGAGAGAGAGAATCTTAAGTACGCTCCACGCCCAGCATGGAGCCTGACTTGGGGCTTGATCTCACAAATTTGAGATCATGGCCTGAGCCAAAATCAAGAGTCGGATGTCTAACCCACTGAGCCACCCAGGTGTCCCGCATTTGTATTTCTAACTGATGTGGTTTTGGAATATCGGTGAGGTGAGGTCCAGAGCCGACGACCAAGAAGGAATTCCTGAGATGTCTTTGGTACAAATAGGGGGTTTATTAAAGCACGGCGACGGGACCTGTGGGCAGAAAGAGCTGCTGCCCCGGGGTTGTGAGGGGTGGCTGATTATATACCATGGGATTGGGGGAGGTAAGGAAAAAGGGAGGTTTCTAGAAAGATCTTTCATATGTTAAAGAAGATTCACAGGTTATGGGAGGCCTTGCCATTGTCAAGTTAAGGTTGTTTTCCCTCTAGCAAGGCATTAACATGAAGATAGTTGGGAACTTCCTGGAGGAACATTGCACTCTGCCCCGCTTCCAGTATCTGTCAACGGGTTATAAGGACATTTAATTGTATCTACATTTCCTTCTGGAAGCTAGGACGCTGATAGAAATGCTTTGTTTTTGTAAATTGCTAAGACATTTGTAAACGGAGTCTTGCAGGATTGTGATCTCTATAAGTTAACTATTTGTTTTTCCTTTAGGGCAGCCAGGAGTGCATGAGGAATGTCACTTGGTTGCTGGGGTGGTTGTGGGGTGTCAGCTTCTGCTTTGTCCTCAGCTTGCCTTCTATTCCCTCATCATAACCTCTGTTTTAAGGGATATTTTGAAGATAAGAATTAGGAAATTGTTTGGAAGTTAATGAGCCCCTCATCCCTCAAATAAGGTTGGATGTGGACTGTGGGGCTATCTTCCTCAGCTTGGGCTGCGATAACAAAAATAACAGAGACTAGGGGGCTTATAAACAGTGGGAATTTATTTCTCCCGGTGCTGGAGATTGGAAGTTTAAGATCAGAATGCCAGCACGGTTGGGTTCTGGTGAAGGCCCTCTTCTGAGTTGTAAACTGCTGGCTTCTGGTTATATCCTTACAGGACAGAGAGCAGACCCGGGAAGAAAGCACTCTCATCTTGTTCAGGAGGGCTCCACATTCATGACTTGATCCCAAAGGCCCCACCTCCTCACACCATCACGCTGAGGATAAGGGTTTCAATATAAGAATTTGGAGGTGACACAACAGGGAGCATGGGAACGATGGAGGAGGTGTGGGGTAGTTGAAGCAGGACGGGGTGGGGGATTCTTTAAAGTGAAGCTCCTTGCAACTTACCCTGCTTTCTATCAAGGTTGGGGATTTTGCCAGAGCTGTCTTCTGATGGGAGTGGTGAATGAGAAGATTGACCTCTGAGGGCAGATTTGAACTGGAGACATTAAGGGCTAGAGGTGGGGAGTCTGGTTAGGAGGAGATGATGTGGACTTCCCAGTTTGGAGAGAAAGATGATTCTTTCCACATCTGTCGTTCCCTGACTTGTTAATTTTAGCCATTCTGACTGGTGTGAGGTGGGATCTCATTGAGGTTTTGATTTGGATTTCCCTGATGCCGAGCGATGTTGAGCACTTTTTCATGTGTCTGTTGGCCATTTGGATGTCTTCTTTGCAGAAATGTCTGTTCATGTCTTCTGCCTATTGAGAAAGATGATTCTGCTCTTGGATGTTGCAAAGGGCCCAGAGAGGGACCCCTCCACCACACCCCTCCCCAGGGCTCGGTGCCACCTCTCTTCAGCGAGCTGAAAGAGAGGAGCTGCCTCTTTTGACTGGCGTCCTCGGAGCCATGAGCCCTTGATTTGGAGGTTTACTCTCCTGCACACTGGAATAAGCAATATTGGTATTCACAAAGGTTCTGCTCTAAGTTTTATTGCGCTGTGTCAGACTACCAAAGGAGGTTAGGTACTGAGAGCCCCAAGACATCTTTGGAGATGTCACAGGTGGAGGTAAGTATCAGGTTTTCTTCCATTCAGGACTGTCCCCTGACCAGTGAGTCACAGCAGTGTGCACACATCAAGAGTCATATTTGATGTGGGAAATTCGGGATTAGGGTTCGTAGATGACAGCCAAGAAAGAATTCTTGAGACATCTTTGGTGCGAAAAGGTGATTTTATTGGTCGTCAGCAGCGCACCGAGACTGAGCTTGCGTTTCTTCCCGCGCGTGTTGTGGGCTTGCAGTTGAGATTTTTACGACGCTTGGATGCTACTCCTGACATGGAGAAGATTGAGGAACAGTTTGCTAATCTGAACATTGTTAAACGTTCCTCAGAAACTAAAGAGCCTGCTTACTTGCTTGGTATAGATACATCAAAAGCTATACGAGCAGAAAAAGAAAACTTGGTTGCTGTTTTATGTTCTAATGGATCAATCAGAATATATGATAAAGAAAGGTTAAACATACTACGAGAATTTAGTGGATATCCTGGACTTCTTAACAGAGTTAAAATTGCAAATTCTTGTGACAGTGTATATTCCTCATATACCGATGGCACTGTAAAGTGTTGGGATGCTCGATTAGCCAGTGAAAAACCTGTCCAGCGTTCAAGGGTTACCCTTCCAATAGTTTTATTAGTTTTGATATCAACTGTAATGATCATGTCATTTGTGCTGGTACAGAAAAAGTGGATGATGATGCATTGTTGGTATTTTGGGATGCAAGAATTAATTCTCAGGATTTGTCTACTACTAAAGACCCACTTGGAGCATATTCAGAGACTCATAGTGATGATGTCACTCAAGTGTGCTTCCATCCCAACAATCCTAACATGGTAGTCTCGGGTTCAACTGATGGCCTGGTAAATGTATTCGATATTAGTGTTGATAATGAAGAAGATGCACTGGTTACAACCTGTAACTCCGTTTCATCAGTAAGCTGTATTGGTTGGTCTGGGAAGGATTATAAACAGATCTCCTGCATGACACATGGTGAAGGATTTTGTTGGTGGGATCTTAATCATCTGGATACTGATGAACCAATTACATGTTTGAACATCCAGGATGTCAGAGAAGTAGTTAATCTGAAAGAAGGTATTTTGGACTATTTAATTGGTGGCCTATATCATGAAAAAAATGGACAAATTGTTGTTGTTGGAGGAACAAACACAGGAATTATTCACTTGATGAGCTGCACTATATCAGGATTGATCCATGTGACCAGCCTTCGTGGAGGGCATGCTGCTACAGTCTGTTCTTTCTCTTGGAATATGCAGGATGATTCTTTGCTAACCGGAGAAGAAGATGCACAGTTGTTACTTTGGAAACCTGGAGCAATAGGGAAGACATTTACAAAGAAAGACAGCATGAAAATAGCATCCACTGTGTCCCAGCGAGTTTGAGTTCACAGTAATGATTCTTACAAGAGAAGGAAAAAGCAGTGATGTTATGTTGGGAGTTTACTTGAGAGGCTTTATAGTTACAAGTAGTTATTTTTTGTACTACCTGTGACAGATATGTTTAAAACTCATATGTAAAAACAAGCCAGTTAGCAAACAATCCTGGAAAAATGTTGAAGATGGTTTAATTCCGGTCTTCATGTATTCTAAAATTATTTTTTTTAAAGCTGCCAGTTGAGTATATAATCAGTGAGTTGAAAGTAAAATTACATTCCTCATTTTTTTTTAAAAAAAGGTGATTTTATTAAAGCACGGGGACAGAACCCGTGGGCAGAATGAGCTGCACTGGGGTCATGAGGAGTGGCCCCTTATAGACTTTCAAGTTGGGAGGGGTTTAGGGAGAGTGTAAGTCTCCAAGGAATTTTGGAAACAAGGTTTCCAGGACCTTGAGAGGGCTAGCTATTTTTGGGAAAAGGTCATTTATTACCGTCTAATAAAACCTTAGTCATGAGACCCTTCAGATGTATATCGGTGGACCATACGCTTGGGGGATGATTGCCAACAATCTTGGAGGGTTTAGAGATAAAGGAAGTTTCCAAAGAAATTCTTATATGTAAAAGTAGACTTAAACAGGATTGGGGGTGGGGGCGGGAGTCAGACTAGAATTGCCTTTTGCCCTTAGCAAAGTATTAACATCAAGGCAGTTGAGTCCCTAGAGGAATGTCACTATGCCTGTTTCAAGGACTTGTCAGTGGGCTCTAGGCAGTAAGGAAATTCAATAATTTTTCTTCTGCTTTTGTTTCCCACATCAATATTTACTATTATAGCCAGGGACTCCTTCATAAAACTTACAGGGCTCCACCTTAGAAGCTAGTGTCCAATGTAACCATAATAACAGAATAAGCAATGGGTTATCTTATTTTAGAGATTAGACAAAGTCTTTTCAAATAGCATTTTGCTAGTAGAAAATTCTATCTTGGCTCAGGCCAGTGGTCCTTTTGGAAACTGACCGAATCAGGCTACCATCCAGCTTCACATCACATCCCTTTATTAGTACATTTTTCATGACTCCTTGCCATAGAACCTTTGTGTTTCGATGGCATTTTGTAATTTGTGGGTGAAATGGTGGTTTCTGGCATCATATTACAGCTGCAAGGTCTTTTGCTTAAATCCAGAGGAGTGGGACATTCATTACCTTGAAAAGTGTAAAGGAGGATTTGTACCACCCGGCTTCTGCATCTCTGAGCAAGCAATGTCATTCACTCTGCCTACAGTTTCCTCCTCTGTTCTGCCTCAGGATGACTTCTATTTGTCCTTCAAAAATCCACCTTGGTGTCCCCTGGTCTACAAACCTTCCTGACCCTCCAGTGCTCCCCCGCTCCACTCCCGTGTTCCTCTAGAACCAAGCGCTCCTTTCTAATTTTGCATTGATTAATTGTCTAAGTGCCTCCCCAACTCATCTGTAAGCCCCTGAGGGTGGGTGGGACTCCATCTTGTCCTTTCATGAAGGATTTTCCTGACCAGATCCCGCCCTCTTTCCCCCCTACTCCTGCCTGGGTCAGATGCCTCTTCTCATCTTCCCTCAATTCTACTGACCCTGATCAGAACCATCTGTTTAAGTGTCTCCATCCAGACGCACCTCTCTTGTTCCTCTTTGTATCTGAGCAACTCGTGGGGTGTCCTAATGCTTGACACATTGAAGGTAGGTGACCAGCTCATCTTGTTTTGCTTGAGCCTTTCTAGGTTTTAACATGGAAAGCCTCACAATGGCGTCCCTGGATAGAAACCTAAAAGAAATCGAAAGCTTATACTCAAACAAATACATGTACACCTATGTTAGTAGGTGGCATTATTCACAACAGTCAAAAACTGGAAACAGCCCAAGTGTCCATCAACTGATGGATGGCTAAACAAAACGTGGTAGAGCCATTGGATGGACTACGATTCAACCATAAAAAGGAACAAAGTACTGATACATGCTATGGTGTGGATGAAACTCAAAAAAGTTATGCTAAGATCCAGGAGGCCATATATAAAATGTCACATTTTATATGATTACATTTATATGAAATTTCCAGAGCTGGCAAATCCAGAATCAGAACACAGGTGGGGGGCTGGGAGTAGGGGGGAGAATGGAGAGTTAACAGCTTAATGGGTACAGAGTTTCCTTTGGAGGTGGTGAGAATATTTTGTAACTGGATAGAGGTGGTGGTTGCACAACATTGTGACTATAGTAGAGGCCCCTGAAGTGTTCCCTTTAAAATGGTTAATTTTATGTTATGTGAATTTCATCTCAGAAAACAAACACACAAAAAGTCTTGCAAACTGGGATGGTTCTGTGCCTGTCTCTTGAAAAAGAAATTAAGAGAAGAAGGGAATGCTGCTTCCGTTATGAAGTCAAACCCAAATTTTCAAAGGTTTTAAAGTAGAATCTGCTGGCGGGGGTGGAAGGTCAGGCCACCTGGCTTCCCCTTTGGGGTACACTTCCTGACAGTCACTGTAACCCGCATCCTGGGTCCTGAGGGGCCTCGAGCCTCCTTTCACACGTGGCCCAGCATGGACAAAGGTCCTTCTGGTTTCCCACAGCCCCGCCTAGGAGCTTGGATCTTTAAAGATGGGCTTTAAAGGACAATGAAAGGGAAACATACTCCATGAGTGAGAGCGCTTTAGAGAGCACAGACTTCTGCTCTTGTTATAGTCACCGTCCTGGGGCAGGTTTGAAGGCTCATGTTGGCTCCATGTTATCCCAGAGAAATAAGCATATGCCCCAGAAATTCCTAACACTTAATCCTATCATATCAGAATAAGTGCATTAGAAAGGTTTCCTTTTTCTTTTTTCAGACTGGATGTCCCCCACCTCTAGGAAGCAAGACCCTGATAAGACCCCCAAGGCATGTGTGTGGGGAGGTGGGTGGGGGCTAATGGCTCTTCTGACCTCTTTGAGACCCCCAGACTCCCTTGTGGAGATTTTTCTTTACAGGATTTTACTTTCCAGGTTGGTGGATTGACTGGGAATGGCAGGTGAGGACCTTGGAATGAGAACCGCGTGAGTGTGGCGGATTCTGGAGGGAAGCTGGTGTGCGGGGTCTGGAGCCCTGGGGAGCGGGAGGACTCCTGCCTACGTGGAGGACCAGCTGGGCTGCCCCCTCCTGCTAAGGTCGCAGGAATGGAGGCTTCTCTGCCCTCGAGGCTGAGTGAGTACCAGCCTCTGTCGGCCTCGTCAGACACCTGCCAGCCCAGCTGTGCACACCGGAGGGTGGGCCGTGTCTTTGTCAGTCGTAGCAGCTCCGACTGAGCCCCTGTGAGCAGAGGAGGAGAAGCCAACAGCGTGTGCCAAGGAGGACTTTGTAAAACATCCAGAAGTGGTGCCTGAAATACATGCGCTGGAAAAGATTTCGGCAAGAATTATGACTATGTGCCATAGTTTTTGGTGGCCGAAGTAACAAGTCACCAAAAAGTTGGTGGCTTAAAACAACCGACTTTTATTCTCTCATGGGTCTGGAGGCCAGAAGTGCAGAAGCAAGATGTCGGCAGGGCCATGCTCTCTCTGAAGGGTCTAGGGGAGAATCCACTCCTGCGTCTTCGGCTTCTGGAGGCTCCTGGGACTCTGGTGTTTCCTGGATTGTGGATGGGTAATTCCAGTCTCTTCCCCCTTTGTCACATGGACTTCTTCTCTGTGTGTCCTTTCTTTTTTTCTATTTTTTTTTCTTTAAATGAGGACACCAGTCCTTGGATTAGGGCCCAACCTCATCCAGTATGACCTCATCTAAATTAATTATATCTGCAGACACTCTATTTTCAAACCAGGTCACATTCCAAGGTTCTGGGTGGGCATAAATTCTGGAGAGAGGCTACTCAACCCACTATCCCAAGAAAGGAGATTTAGGCATAACAGAAGAATACTTTCTGGTACTAAAAAAGTGTAGCTTGCCAGCTAAGAAATTCAACAGATAAATGGAACAGGAAGATGCAGACCTGAATTAATGGCCGGGAGACCAAGAGGAAGAAATCACTGGAACGGAGCAAAAAAATGCAGAGAAGGAATTCTCATGGGACAAGATAAGCAGCTCGAAGGTTGGATCCAGGAGACCGACGTCAGTTCCACAAAGCGAAAAAGGAACAAAAGGAGGTAAGTTAGAAATGAAGCAAATAACAGAAAAAGAAAACATTTCTTAAGTGGAAGCCAATTCTTTGAATCTTCAACTAGAGAGATTATGCCAAACTCCAGCTGACATTATGTGGAATTGAGACAGACTCATGCATAATCTGGGAAAATCCTGGTAAACTTCAAGGATAAAGAAAATCCCACCAGCTAACAGACATGAGCATTCAGGCCGAGGACTCTTTTCTCATACATTTTCAATTTCTCTATTGATTGGTTTGCTAAGCCATTTGTTGTTATTTAACTTTCCGTGTTTCCTGACATGTTTGCAAGTTCTTGATAGTCAGGATGATGTTTTATTCATATTTCTATCTGTCTTAACATCTGGCCATCCAAAAAGTGGATGCATAAGACCAGGGAACTAAGACACCCTAAAATTCAGTTTACGATAGTCCAAGAGGCACCTGGGAGGTTTTGCAGGAGCACCTGGGCTACGGATGTGGCTGGTACTCTCGTGCTTTTGCAATGGCCTCGGGAGTGTCAGCTTTGGTCCAGGAAGTCCTGAGACTGGTGAGAATCTTAGGGTTGGGATGATGATGGAAGGGAAGAAAGTCCTGTAGAGCAGAGCGGGGCCAGGCAAACCGACCTGCCATCCCCCAGTCTCCTCAAGACTGACTCGGGGGTGAGCATCACTGTGAGACAACTATGTCAGCCTTGGGCTTCACTCCCAACATCAAGGCCTGAGAGATGGGGTCCAGCCTCCTAGGAAGAGAGATTTTCAGGGGCTAGGCAGGAATGGTCAGCTTTCTAGCCTCCGAGGTATGACCCAGCTCCTGGTGTATGTAGGAGCCAGTCAGGAAATGGGCACAAGCCCAGCACAAGGATGGGGTAAAAAGGGTAGAAAGGCAGGGATGGGAGAGACCATAGTTTGGTTGGCAAAGTAGGTGCTGAAGTTCACGCCAGTTTGGGTCAGGGCTTTGGGA